AAAAAAAAAAAAAACTACTCATCAATTATTTTACTTATCCTTGATCAAGTACTACAAATCCTCACCATTTTTCGGTCCCTTGCCCAAAATCACTCTTGGCAGATGAAGTTAACTTTTCAAACATCAGTAAAACTAAACGCCACCAGATTCCTTCAACAATTCAACCCTCTCTCCCTTCCTTTATATACCTGTAGTTACCTATTTCCACACACTTTCTCTTAAAGGAAATGGCATGACTTCACCTATTAAAGCTCACCCCTACGGGTGTATTCTCTTACTTCCATATACTAGTCTCTTGTAATGCCAATTATTCCCTTCCCTCTGTATGTTCAACCTCTCTAGCAGCTCTTTACCATCAACCTATAAATATGCTTATACTATCCCATTTGAAAAGAAGAAATAGAAAAGAGGGAAGGAGGGTGGGAGAAGAGGGAGGGAAAAAAAGAGAGGTAAAGGGAGAGAAGGGAAGGGGAGAGGAAAAGAGAGAAGGGAAAAGAAGGGAGGAATTCCCTCAATCTGGTCTCCTTCCATCTACAACGAAGTTAAGAACTGGCATGCACTTAATCTTTCTACTTTCTCTCCTTTTATCTTATTCCTCAGTTGACTCCAGTGAGACTTCTACAACTATACCTGCTCTGAAAAATGTAAATAACCTTCCAGTGGCCAAATGCAACAAACATTGAAGTCTAGCTCTAATACATAACAACTGCTTCATGTCAGGAATAATGAATAAATATTTCTTAAACAAATAAATGAGTAAAAGAATTCAGATTTCAAGCACTCAAGGTTCCTGCCTTCTGGACCAGTGCTCTTCTAGTAGACTATTTCTCATAATCAAATGATTTTATTTTCTACAAAAGACATTTCTGGGACAATTGGTGAAACCTAAATAAGGTCTGTAGGTAATAGCACTGTATCAATAAGAGTATTTTATCAGTATTGATTACCTATTTTGATAATTACATTTTGATTATGTGAGACAATATCTTTGTTTTTAGGAAATACACACTGAAATATTTAAGAGTAACTTACCCTTTCTCTTAATTAACTTGTATTCAAGTAATTTAGAAAAAAACTATATATAGATATCAAGAGAGAGAGAGAGAGAGAGAACAGGTACATCAATTCTATGTATGATTCTTGCAACTTCAAAAGAAACAAATCCTATTGACACAGCCCATAAACAAGAAGTATGAGGAAGCTGAGGATGACTGTGGAGAGGAAGAGATTTCATATGAAGTTTAAGTCAAGGAAATAGGAATTGTTCAGTCTAGAAAATTGAAGAAAGGAAATGTAACTGAGGACACTCATCAGAACTAGAAGGAAAAAATTTTTTAAACTATTTAAAGGAAATATCATCTTAGTAATTAATTGAACTAATCACTCTAAGATTTTAGAATTTGAAATCAAAGGTAGCAAAAATGTTATACTTTGATGTTACAGAAACAACTCTGAACTGATTCAGGCAATTAATATTATCTTGGTATTCTTATGCTTATACATAGTTCCAGTTCAAGAGACTTATCTAGTTAAGGAAATTAAAATTTAAAAACTATTTAAAGCATTTTAGTGGTTTCGGCTAACCTGTATCACAAAGGAATGCCAATAGTACATTAAACTACAATGTACAAAGACTATACTTTTTAGAAAGCACTTCTAATAGATAATTCATTTCTACTCACCTGTTACTTCTTTTAACTGATTTATTCTGCCATGGTGGATCTATCACAATTACATCAAATGTTTTCCTACCTAAAAACAAAGACACAATTTCAGAAAATACCTTCTGTATATAATCACTGTAAAAACTAAACACAGTCTTCAAAACTAAAGTGCTTTCACTACAGACACAAATATAATTGAATAAAACAAAAGGATTTCTATCATTTATTTAAATAGAATAATATATCTAAAAATATTAGAAATTTTCCTTATAATTTAGGAATTTATAGAATTTTAACATAGGCTACCTGCAGATGACTATAGCTCACTAGGCTGGACATATGATTTGTAAATTCCATGTCAGTCTTAATTAATATGATCCTATCAAACTTAGGTCATTTTTTAAAACTTTTTATTTTTAAAGAATTTCAGTCTAGACCGGGCATGGTGGCTCGCGCCTGTAATCCTAGCACTCTGGGAGGCCGAGGCGGGTGGATTGCTCCAGGTCAAGAGTTCAAAACCAGCCTGAGCAAGAGCAAGACGCTGTCTCTACTAAAAATAGAAAGAAATTAATTGGCCAACTAAAAATATATAGAAAACATTAGCCGGGCATGGTGGTGCATGCCTATAGTCCCAGCTACACGGGAGGCTGAGGCAGAAAGATTGCTTGAGCCCAGGAGTTTGAGGTTGCTGTGAGGTAGGCTGACACCACGGCACTCACTGTGGCCTGGGCACTCTAGCCTGGGCAACAGAGTGAGACTCTGTCTCAAAAAAAAAAAAGAATTTCAATCTTATAACTGATATATTGACCATAATAAAACTTCCCCAATTATCTACGAATGTCCTTCTTTCTGATTCAGGATCAAAACTAGGATCACACATCACATTTAGGTGCAATCTCTCCTAAATCTCCTCCAATCTGGGTAAGTTCTTCAGTCTTTCTTTGTCTTCTGTGATTTTGACACTTTTAAAACCTATCCCTCAATTTGGGTTTGGTATTTCCTTGTGATTTGAATTTAGGTTATTTATTTTTGGCAAGAGTACCATCAAAGTATTGCCTGCCATGTCCTATCAGAGGAACATATCAGGAGGTACAGGATGTCTAAAAGTCTCATTACTAGTTAGAGACTGATATCACTTGGTTAGAAAGTTGTCTGACAAGTTTCTCCAGTTTTTCCCTTGTAATTAACAAGCATCTCATGGGGAGATACTCTAAGACGGTGAAAATATCCTATGTATCATCTTTTCATCCACTATTTTGATATCCAAATATTACTACAGTGTTCATCAAATAGAAATTTTCTAGTTCCAACATTCCATTCACCTTTATTAACTGGAATTTAACTGTAAAGAAGAGCTCTCCCTTCTCCCCCTTTTATAACATAGGTATGTTTTTATACATGTACAATCCCATAAGTAATCAAAAGAATACAAATTAAAATACGGCGGTGATGGCCGGGCGCGGTGGCTCACGCCTGTAATCCTAGCTCTTTGGGAGGCCGAGGCGGGCGGATTGCTCAAGGTCAGGAGTTCAAAACCAGCCTGAGCAAGAGCGAGACCCCGTCTCCACTATAAATAGAAAGAAATTAATTGGCCAACTGATATGTATATAAAAAATTAGCCGGGCATGGTGGCGCATGCCTGTAGTCCCAGCTACTCGGGAGGCTGAGGCAGAAGGATCGCTTGAGCCCAGGAGTTTGAGGTTGCTGTGAGCTAGGCTAACGCCACGGCACTCACTCTAGCCTGGACAACAAAGTGAGACTCTGTCTAAAAAAAAAAAAAATACGGCGGTGACACTTTTTAAACTATTAGAGTAACGAAGATCAAAAAGAATAGAAAAAAATGTTCATGCATAGCACGGTTTTCTCATTAATTTGTTATCCTGTCATTTACTTAAAGAATTTATGACACTGCAACATGGATAACCATTCATGTGTAAGATGGCTTGATGGCAATTAAAAGAAGCTTTCATTACGCAGCTAGGTTGGAGTTGCTCAGTAACTTAATATTTTGCTATAAAATGTCCAAATAACAATAAATAGCAGATTACATTCAATTTGATCAATTTATCTCTTCCCTACCATATCCCTTAGGTTATTATAATAGTTATAATTTATGAAAACCTTATAAATTACTGAGCTAAGAATCTGATAGAGATTATATCATTTAATCCTCAAAATGACCCCCAGAAGCATTAATAGACAATTATTTTATAGATTAGGAAAAGTAGGTATTTATTCATTTTATAGATTAGGAAACTAAGGCTCAATTTTGTAATCCAAATAGCCCAAAGACTCACAGTTAAATAAGCTTCAGAATCTAAATTCAAATACTAGTCTGTGTGATTGTGGATTTCAGTATCTAAATTTTTTGGCTTTATACAGAAAAATCTTATAAAAAATTCTAGACAATGAACTCTTGGAACATTAGCTTAAAACATAACCTAAAAGGCTAGGAAATGATTTGGGAATTGATATTCATAACTGAAGTGTTTCTATTGTACTTTTCCATGAAAAGTTAAATAAAGTCCTTTAGTTAAATACAACTGTATACTGAATTCCTAAGTATAGAAAAGTAACTGTATTTGCTCTCTTAGGAACTAGTTTGTTCTTTATTCATAAGAATTCAAATTTTTTTAAAAAAGCACAAGTCAGCACTTTAAAATTGAACTTAATGGAAAAATAACACTGGGAAAAGTATCTACCCATTTTCATAAATGTTGACCCTTATTCAAAATTCAGACTAGCCCCTAACTTTGGAGGATGTAGAAAAGTTACATTTTTCTAACAATAAACACAATAATTACTTACAGTTCAGAAGTGGTTGCATACAAGAAATGTCAGACAAAAGAAAACTGCTTTTTGGTGGCAGCAGGTATTTCTGTCCCATTAAAGTAATCATTTTTGTAAAACTAGAGTTGTTTTCAACAACCCGTGAAAATAAATCCTGCTCTGTAACAGACGTATCATCTTCCGTCAATTGTAATGTCTGAAGTTCCATTTCATTCTTAGAAGGCAAGTGCTTTGCCATTTCACATAATTCTGACAAATTGCAGGTATCAAGTGGTAAAGTAATAGGCTTACTGCACTTGTCCTGTTTTTCAGAAAGTGGATAAAGAAAACCACTTTTGAGACCTTCTTGGATTAATTGTAAAGATCCATCCAAAATCAGCTCCCTGATCTGTAAGAGAATTTTTTCAGAGTACATTAGAAGAACACTGACATTAAAATCATTTTCTAAAGAATTAAAATCATTTTCTAAACCATTTCTAAATACTATGCTTTGAGTACTTGAATTTATAGATTAAAATCAACATTTTTGATGTTTACAGTAAAATAATTTGTACTACAATGAATGGATAAGAATGTGCAAGTATACCTTTGAACTGATGTTTCCTAATTGATGAATAAAACAAACCTCACAAATTCACTGACAAGTAAATAACCATTGAAAGTCATATGCTGTACTTAGGGGAAAAAACAATAAGTAACCAAACAATACATATAAGGAAATATAACCTTAAAAAATTTATAAAATGAATTCGATAATCTGAATGTCTCTAAAAGAAAATGAAATTTCTAATCTATTAAGAGAATTAAGTTTAAATTACAACATTTAATCTTAGACTTTTCTAGTGATCTAATTTTAAAATAAATATACCTTTTATTTCATATAATATAGCTTGAATTATAAAAAAGAAAAAAAGTAACTGTAAAATTAACATGTAAACAAAGTTTTACAAAAATAAAGCTATAATAATTATAATAATAAAAGCCAAGTTCCACTCCTGGACAAGACAGAGTACCAGGGATCAGATTAATCCTTTCAACTGAAATTGTAAAAAATATACAAAGTATGTTTTTTAAAAAAGGTTTTCAGATTTTAGATGTCATACAGCAAAAAAAACCAGTGGTCCCTAAATAGGAGAAACAAAGGATTGTTCCAGCTTACTGCCTTGAGAAAGTTGCCAGGGAGCAGCATAGGGAAGGAGACACATGCAGAGTCGAACAGTCTGAGTTAAGGAGATGGAGCTGGGAGCCTGGAAAGGCTAAGGCAGCGAGAGTTTGCAGGGCACAGTGCCAGAGAGGAGAGGGCACCGAGAGCTCTTGAGAACTGCAGAGGGTCCGCTCAAGTCTCCAGCTAAGTAGTGATCACTACATGCATGTGATGAAACTACCAAGGTCAAGGAAAGAACCAGATGAAATGACCAGAGGAAACAACACCCAGGGCTCACACAGGGCTGGGAATAGTAAGTGCTCCCACCAGCCAAAATAGAAAACCTCAGAATTCACAGGGCATCAGGTAGACTACTCAGAAGGGTATTGCCTCAGTAGTGGGGAAAATAATAGCTCTAGACCGAAGTCTACTCTGGTCCTAAGCTTACAGAAAATGTCAAAAGGATCAACCAGTGTCTAAGGAACTTTTTCTGAGAACAGGGCTCAAAAATATTTAAAGGTATGTGAAAATATCCAGTACTCAAAAAGTTAAAATTGAAATAACTTACAAAAAATTTAAAATTACCAGGAATGTAAAGAAGCAGAAAAATAGAATACATCATAAAAGGAAAAATCACACAATAGAAAAACACGGGAATGACACAGATGATACTACTAGTAGAAAAGTTTGGGTAGGTTTACTTGCAGCCCATTTAAAAATATTAGGGAAAAAAATGTAGAAAAGGATATTAAGGCACTTATTATACCATATTTATATGAATATTCATATGTTCAAAAACATAAAGAAAAAAATGAATATGTTAAGAAGAGACATGAAGCTATTTAGAAAAGATCAACTCAAGCTTCTAGAGAAGAAAACTGCAGGCCAAGTGTGGTGGCTCACGCCTATATACTCTGGGAGGCTGAGGCGGGCAGATCATTTGAGCTCAGAAGTTCAAGACCAGCCTGAGCAAGAGCGAGACCCTGTCTCTACCAAAAAAATAGAAAGAAATTAGCTGGACAACTAAAAAAAAAAAATTATATATATATAAACTAGCTGAGCAAGGTGGCGCATGCCTGTAGTCCTAGCTACTTGGGAGGCTGAGACAGGAGGATCGCTTGAGCCCAGGAGTTTGAGGTTGCAGTGAGCTAGGCTAAGGCCATGGCACTCTAGCCCAGGCAACAAAGTAAGACTCTGTCTCAAAAGAAAAAGAAAACTATAATGCATGAGGAGCATTATTCCCAATAGCCAAAAAGTGAAAACAACCCTATTGTCCATAAACAAATGGATAAACACAATGTGGTATTTATATACAGTGTTATATTTTTCAGTTCTAAAAAGGAAGAAAATTCTGATATATGCTACAACATGGATGAACCTTGAAGACATTAAACTAAGTAAAATAAGCCAGACACAAAAGGATAAATATCTTATGATTTCTCTTATATGAGGTACCTAGAATAGGCAACTTCATAGACAGAAAGTAGAATAGTGGTTACAAAGAGGAAGAGTAAGGGGGAATGGGGAGTTAGTGTTTAATGGGTAGAGTTTCTGTTTGGGATGATAAAAAATTGCTAGAAATGGGCAGTGGTGATGACAGTACAACATCACGAATGTACTTAATACCAGAACTGTATACCTAAAAATGATTAAAATGGAACATTTATATTAGGTATATTCTACCACAATAAAAAAAAGAAAGGAATCCAGTGTCCTACCATCAGAATAATTCAATGTGTCCAAAACTGAAATTATCATCCCTCCTAAGCCAAATTCCAAACCCAAATTTCCTGTTTCAATCAAAGGTACTCCATAGAGTTAAGCTTAAAATATTTGTGTACCCTCTGTTTCCTGTCATTTCTTTAACCCTTAGATCTCATTTATCTCTATGTTCTATAAATATATCCTTCATATTACTCATGTTTTCTGCCATTATCTTAATATGTTATTTTACCTATGGACAATAGGCTTTTATAATTTCTAAAGCATCTAAACTTAACCAATATAAGTTTACTTATGTTAAATATTTCAACTAATACTATAAATTGTTTCAACAAAAACTGATTTAAACTGTTCATTACTATAAAAGTAATAATAAATCACTATTAAATTCTAATCCTAACCAAAATGACTGCTTGATTTTAAAGAACATCTTTATTTATACTTATTGTCTATTTATTTTCTATTTACCATGTCACATTAATCTTTCATTGTGATCAATGATTTTATACCTACCTTTGTATGGTATTCCATAGCATCCAATTCACCTTGATTGAAAACAACACATCTTTTACGCTTCTAAAGGGTAAATAAATTACAGGGGAAAAGTTATGTCACTATCAAAATATTGATATTTTGAAATACATTACTTTTTTAAAATCACATTATCCATATTGTATATCTCAGTCTTTAAGAGGTGATAATTATCTATTGAGGTCCAAATCAAAGCAAAGGGTATGGACTAATGAGACAAGCATTCCCAAAGTAAAAAAAAAAAATGGGTGATGAAAGTTCATCTCGGCTTTATCTGTTATTAATAAGAACTAGTTCTACATGATAAAGTGTAGTACCGGCACACATGGAATATAAGGACACTGTGATACTGTATGAACAGTCATAGTGACATCTCTCAGTTCACATGTATGCTATAATTACTCTCAAATTCATTGCTGAGAAAAGGAAGGATCCATGTGCTGCCATCAAAAGAAATTCTAATGTCCTTTTAAAGCTCTTTATGATTAATCTGAGGGTTAGGTACAAATCTTATATATTAACACTGTTCTATATAAAACAACTCCCTAGAAAAGAACATGTAAGACTGTGCAATATAGAGAAAGGACTTTGTACTTTTTATTCCCGAAACCCCAGTGCTTACACAGTGTCAAAGTCCTAGCAGGCTAACATTAAATATTTGTTGGCTGAATAAATAAATGTACTGAAGATTAGCCTAATTGTATAATTTGCTTCAGCATATCAGCAATAAGGTAAGTTTTGTCATGGTAACATTTATTACATATGTTCACTTATATTTTTCCATATTAAAATAAGAAATTTACCTAAGAGATTAAATGTTAAAATGAATGGCCATATTCTGTATACTGCAAAGTTCCTTTACAAAGGCTTATTTGTCTGAATTATTTTTGATGTATTACCTATATACTATTTTACTGAGATATCAGACAACACTATATATTTTCTTTTCTCTGCCTGCCACATAACAGATAACCAGTACAAGAAAAAAAAAAATCACAAGAATATTAAAAGTTCTACTTTGGGTACCTATAACAATGTAATAAATTATTTTTACTACTTTCCTTATTCTAATGCTCAACATGCTTTTTTATTTAATATCTTTCTCCTCTATTCAATTATAAGATCCACAAGGGCAAAGACTGTGATTACCTTGTTTCACCACTCTATGTACAATAGCACATAGAAAGAGCTCAACATTTGTTGGGTGAGTAATGAACATTAATCCTATCACTAACAAAGAAAATGCTGATATAATCTATCTGAAGTGGACTTTGTATAATCAACTCTAAACTCCTAAAAGACACAAAAAGTACCAAAGCATAATTAATTTGATTCTGTATGGCATTCTCAAAACTTTACTAAAAGATTGCACCAATGTATAGGTACAAGTATATATGCTTTATAAACATATACATTTTGTACAGTAGCTTTCTATTTTTCTCATTAGAAACTTTTCAAAAAATCACCATTCTTCCAAGCTTTTATTATGTGAGCTATCTCCAAGGGTTAGCTCTCTAAAAATCTCCAAAAAAACACTTACTACTTAGAAATTTTATAAACTTTTTTTTTTTTTTTTTAGCAACAACAGGTGTAAATTTAATTACTACAAATGCCTAAGCCGAAAAGATTTTTTTGCTATGTGGATTTATTTTCCTTAATTTATAGTACATTCACTCCAGGGCCAACTTTGCTTATTTTTTAAATACTATGCAATTTGATATTCTAAGAATGGTAGTATATTAGGAAAAAGGTAAAAGTTATTCTGTATATGCTAAAGCCTTCTTATGTTTTATTGATTCTTCTTTATACCTAATAAATCACAAGATAGTTGCGATATTGAAATGATAAATCTCATTTATGTTTTTTATAGAAAAATAATTATTTCTTAAAACTTTCTACCTTCCCAATAATAGAATCGGAGATTTCTTTTTTAACACCATTCATTAGATCTTCCTTTTCATTGCTTTGCTGGCATTCTTTGTGAACAGCTGGAGTTATATGAGGTTTGGTGACATCAAACAGTTCAGGCCGAAAAACATGTTTTTGCATAAATGTTTCATAATTTTCTGCGTCATCATTCTTTGTCTTAGTGGTAAAGTCAGAAGAAACAAAGGTAGCACGGGCTCCAAAAGAGGATATAGAATCCACTTGAAAAGAATCAGAGTGGACAGAAGTGGGCTCATTTTTCCTGCAACAAGGCTCATCATGCTGGTGAAATTGATAGTTTATCTTGTTAATAAAAGAAAGATGATCCAGTAACCACCCAGGTGACAGCTGGTGTACCACAGACATTCTTTTGCTTTAAAAAAGCCTCTGGGAATTAGGGACTAGAAGTAAAACCCAGCCTTCCAGATCAGAATCTTAAATGTCCTGAATTTTAATAAACATATATTCCATACACAAAGATAAATCTGATGTGCAAATATATAAACCTCACATGTACACTGAAGAGAATTTAACACACATATGTCAATATATACAGAAGTTCTAAGAAAAATTACAACATTTTAATATCAACTCCTTTTAATTTCAGAGTTGATCATTCCAATTTTCAGCCAACTTGGCCACAGAGTTAAAACCTGATCTGATTTCTGGAATCCCAATTTGATCCTCCTGTTTTCCCAGGCTCTTGACAACTTCTTGCTTTGGTCCTTGGATGTAGCCACTAAGTCCACATCCTTCAAGTAAGGAAGTCACTGATTCCTTAAAAGCTGAAAGTGTCCTGTCAAAGCAAAGAATACTAAATTACCTATGAGAATTCACCCTTTTTAATGAGATAAACCTATCTAGAGAGGGTCACAGAATTTCAGGGGGAGTTGTTAGCAGGTCAGTCCTTGTTTTTTCAAATTTTCCATAGTAAGTCAGTCCATTCTCCAGTTTCATTGTTCTACTTAATCACTACTACTAATGGAGTAATAAGGTAACAAGAAAAGATTGATCTAGTCAAAACAAATGCAATTATTTCCCCTTTTTGAGACAGGCTCCTGCCCTGTTACCCAGGCTGGAGTGCAATGGCACAATCATAGCTCACTGCAGCCTCAAACTCCTGGTCTCAAGTGATCCTTCTGCCTCAGCCTCTCAAATAGCTGACACTACAGGCATGAGCCACCATGCCTGGCCAAATGCAATTTTAACAGCACATTAGAAGAATTAAATTCTAGCTGTAATTCTCCTCCAGAGAGAAAAGAGGAGCTGAAGGTTGAGTTGATCACCAAAGGCCAATGATTTAATAAATCATGCTTTACAATGATGCTGTGATAACTGACACTATCTCAAGGTAGACAGTGTCAGAATTAAATTAGAAACACCTAGCTGGTGTCTGCTGCTGCAGAATCCAGAGAATTGCTTGACTGCTTGTTGTGTGGGAGAAATCCCTCACATACTTCTAAGTGACCAGAGGTCACAGAGGTCTTTTGTGTTGATTGCTAGTTTGAAAGTAGAGGGAAAATAGCTTGTTCTTTCTACAGATCATGTATTAGCAACATGACCATGGCCACGCTGTTTGATCTCAATGAGCCTCAAAGTCATTTTTTATCACATCTCTCAGAGGGCAGTTTAGGGAATTAAATGAGATGATTCACATCAAGTGCGGTGCACAGTGTCTGACGCAAAGTCAATTGCTCAGGTAAATGCGAACTGCTGCTATTGGTAACGATGATCCAGAGTGATCCTTGGTCCCCCCACCCCACCTCTGCACCTTCATAGTTACCAAGTAAGGTGAGGAGGCTCTGCAAAGGCTAGTGAAAGCTAGAAATTTAGACGGGAAAACTGAAACTCAGAGAAAAAAGGCGACTTGCCCAAAAATTACAACCCTAGTTAAAGGCACAACTGTTACAAGACCCAAGTATCCAGACTTTCTGAAGCTCTGAGCTCCTCTCCCACCCACACCCACTCCAAGTATTGGGCAGTGCCTGTCTCTGGGTTCAAACTAGGAGAAGCAGGGAAATCCTATTTTAGCAATCTACAGTGCTTAGTGCACCCCTTCTGATTCTCTGCTTCACATCCATCCCCTTGCGAACCCCCACTACTCGGATTCTTCCTTGCTTCTCGCAGGCCAGCCACCACTAGAAGACCGTGAGACCTTGAAAGCAGTCAAATCCGGAGCCCGAATTCTGGCGGCAGCAGCGCCAGCGCCATCCTTGGACCCCACTGCACCCACATTCAGCAACCACTACCTCCTACCTCACCGCTTTCCTTGTCAGAAAAGTGCACGCCGCCTTCCTAGACTCTAATCATGAAAACAGCACCCACCTAAACAGTGGCCATAAAAGACCGCCCTTTCGGGGGGGCGAAGGGGAATCTCCTTTTCTAAGAGTTGACGGGCGCCGCCATGTTGTTGTACGGAAAAACGTCTCCAGAGCAACTCGGAACGCTCGGGCCGCCCTTGGATCTTCAGAGCTCACTTTAGGAGTCCGGCCAGATCCGCCGGAGATTGGTTACACTGTCCCAGTGATGTTAGTGTGCGCCGCAGAGCAGCTGGGCGCCAACAGCACGCGCAGTTCCGGCAACGAAGCGGTCGCAGGAGAGTTGCGTCGCTCGTCATGCGTGATGGCGTCACACCGGCGGACCTTTTCAAATTCGAACGGCCTGGGCGGGCGGAGGAAGGAGCTGGTGTTTTGTTGACTGCTGTCTTATCTAGCGGACGATTGCACGGTTTACAGAAATTCGGTCCCTGGGTTGTGTCAGGAAACTGGAAGAAAGGTAACTAATGACACTGGTAACTAATAACTTTGTTTCTGCAGAACTGTTCTGGAGGAGGAAAGTGATGGCGCCAACAATTCAAATGTAGCGGCCCTGAGAGACAATGTTTTGGTGTTGGGAGAGGCCATTGGGCCAGATCTGTGTGAGGCGCTGGGTTCACGGAGTCCTCTAAATTTCTATTAGCAACGATTTCCCAAGGGAGAAGGGGCGGGCATGAGGGTCCCTGCTGGAGGAAGAGGCTGGAGAGAGGCAAGGGGGAAGACTTGAGGGGGGCGAAGAGGGGAAGGGCAACAGAGGAACTGTTTGGGGTGCTGCGTCTGCATACTAGTGGCCGCGTACGGAGTACGTGTGGAAGTCTTAATCTTAACTCTTGCGAGTACATCGTAAGTGAAGACTGAGAGTGAACATATGGGTGTGGGTGGAAAAGATGAACAGATGAATAAGCTCTCATTGAAGGAAAGAAATAGGCGGCCAAAACCAAGAAGGAAAGAATGCAATAGGTATAAAAGACTAAGCAGTACACAGAGAAGTACAAGGATAACCACTGTTCTGGAAGCCAGGGCAGGTCCTGAGAAGGCAGGGTACAGAGATGAGACAGGATCAAAAGGTTCGTCGATCGTGAGTATCCTAGGAGACAGCCTTTTTAGTAAATGTGAAGGGAATGAGATGTTAATGGGGTTTGAAAGGGAGGCAGCCTGTACACCGTTTTGTGGACCAGATGATTTATCCTTGTTGAAGGGGAGATTAAAGCCAAAGGGGCAGTAATTGAGTATGAACTAGGAAACAATGGATTAAAGATAGAACAGGAGAGATTGGCATTAGAAGAAGAAAACAGAATAGCTCCGTTCTGAGACCAAAGAAAAGGAAACATTTTGAGGTGAATAAGAGAACTTGAGGTAGTTCTTTCACTTCCGGTTGAAACAGGCACAGCCAACAGCAGTAAATAGGGTCTGGGTTAATATATTCAGGGCTCCAGCTACCATGGATACCCTTGTGAAAGCAAGAATCATACCTTATTCATCTTTGTATCTCCTGCACTGCCTAGCACACTCTCTTGTACATGATGGGCCGTTAATAAATGTTTATGTGTGTTGTATGTTCCCTGCAAATGAGAACTTCAGCATACAGGAACAAATAAAGATATTCCAGGGGAAAAGTTATCTTGAAAAAAACAGTGAAGCCTGGCTGCCTTTCTATTTGAGGATAAATGGTTGCTTAATGTACCATCTTTGTCTGGAAAGCTTTTTTAATACTGATTTCGTGAATGTAGGTCATAAGCATGAAGCGTGGTTCGGTTTCCTCTGGTGGTGCTGGCCGCCTCTCTATGCAGGAATTAAGATCCCAGGACTTGAATAAACAGGGCCTCTATACCCCTCAAACGTAAGTGTCTCCCTTGTGGTTCTGACCTGCATGCTTTATCTGCTTGGACAAAGAAATCATAAAAATGGCTAATTCAAAGATGTAATATGAATGATGTGTTGGTGAATCCTGTCTGTTCCCAGTGTACCTAATTTTGGATCAATGAAGTCTAAATGTGGGCATGGTGTTGTGTGGCATCTCATTTGTTTCTTAAATTCCCAAAGCCAAGTGCTTTACCAGGCATTCCCTAAAAGAACTAATTCTTCTTCAGCACTCTTATTTTCTTCCTTTTTTCTAGAGCTACTTGTTTGAGCAAAGTCTATGCTGTGACTTCAGTTTACTGAGATGTTTCCAACTAGCAACGTTCTCAATCAAATCAGAGTAATATTATTAGTATTTACTCTGATAATAAGCTATCATGTAGTAGCAGGCTACAAAACACCACTTCTCCAAACTACTTCCTCAAGATTGGCTAAAAAAGTGTCCAAAAGAACTTACTATCATAAACTATAGTTTTTCGATAAGAGTGATTTTCTTTCAGTTAAGGGAAGGCTAATTGTAAGCCACTGTAGAGCTGTATCAATCCTTCTCTAATACCTAGCTACAAGTTACTTGCTAACTATTCTTAAATTACTTAGATTTACATAGTATGAGCTTCTGCTACTTTTAGAAATTTGAAATATTTATGTATTTTTCTTTCTGAATACTTTAAACAGGGAAGTTTTTTTGTTGTTGCACATTACTTACACCAAAAGTTTATGCCTTGAATTGTATTAGAAGCTAAAAAGTCCCCACTGTCAATGTTTCTTTTTGTCTGTAATTTAGATTATGTATGTCAAGTGCAGCTACATTCTGATAAAGAGAAGGTTTTAAAAGAAAAAATTTTAAAGGTGGTTATCAACCTATAATTGAACTTACCTATTTTAAAATTTTTTTCCTTAAAGTTGTTTAAATATGTAAAAATGTACATATTTTAAGATAATTGAAATCATAATGTAGATAAGGTTTTTGTGCTGCATCTGGAAAAGAGGAGGGCTTACAGTGTAGAAGCCAGAGACTTAAATCTGCATAACAACCCTCCCCTCTGGCTATTTAATCTTAACTGGGCTTCCTAGCTACACCTTTCTCTTGGCAAATAGGTGAAATAAGCCAGCAACAGAAAATTAAACACCACATGTTTTCACTCATATATGAAAGCTAAAAAAAAAGTTGAGCTCATAGAAGTAAAGAATAGAACAGGATATGAGAAACTAGGAAGGGTAAGCAGAGAGGAGGGAATAAAGAGAGATTGGTTAAAGGATACAAAGTAACACCTAGATAGGAGGAATAAGTTATAATGTTCTATAGCACTGTAGAATGACTATAGTTAACATTAATAGGCCAGGCTCGGTGGCTCACGCCTGTAATCCTAGCACTCTGGGAGGCCGAGGCGGGCGATTGCTCAAGGTCAGGAGTTCGAAACCAGCCTGAGCAAGAGTGAGACCCCCGTCTCTACTATAAATAGAAAGAAATTAATTGGCCAACTAATATATATAGAAAAAATTAGCCGGGCATGGTGGCACATGCCTGTAGTCCCAGCTACTCTGGAGGCTGAGGTAGGAGGATCGCCTGAGCCCAGGAGTTTGAGGTTGCTGTGAGCAAGGCTGATGCCACGGCACTCACTCTAGCCTGGGCAACAGAGTGAGACTCTGTCTCAAAAAAATAAAAAATAAAAAAAATAAAAAAACATTAATAGATATTCAAATAGCTAAAAAGAGGAAATTGAATGTTCTTAACACAAAAAAATGACATATGTTTGAGAAGATAATTACCCTGATCTAGTCATTGTACACTATATGTGTTGCAACATCACTATGTACCCCATAAATATGTACAATTATGTATCAATTTAAAAAAGAATTTTTAAGTAAAAATTTTAAAGTAGGAAAAAATGATATTTAAGCATGAAATCAAAGTTCTGTGTATTGGGGATGTAAATTTTCTGCCTTGTCTTTACTCTTTGGAATTGCAAATTTAGGGTAGAAAATTTTAGATGACTATTAAAAATATGATGGATAAAAATGGACAGTGCTAGGGTTAAAACAAAGGTTAAATCTACCAAAGGGTGGATGGACCAGAGGGACTCCTTACTGGTCTCAATATTACAAGTATTATAACTTATAGTACTATGTTTTAGCCCATCTGATTTATAACAGCTACCATTGCTGCTAAAAATTTTCATGACTTTTAATTATTTTATAAGTAATGGGGAAGAGGTATGAGTTCTAATGTATTTCCAAAAGTTTCTTGAGCAAATAATTTTGTATTTATTGTAAAGAGTTGTTTTTCTGTTTTTCTTAAAGCAAAGAGAAAGCAACCTTTGGAAAGTTGAGTATAAACAAACCTACATCTGAAAGAAAAGTCTCTGTATTTGGTAAAAGGTAATGATATTTTTTATTAATTCTAATAAAGGGGATTCATATAGCTATACAGTGGTGCCCTCAGAGAACAAAGAGTCAGATGATATGGTCTCTTTCAAGAGAAAAGTTATAATCTAGTTTTCCTCTGTTTTAAATAGTTCTATCTCCTTTAGATGATAGATTAACACACTCAGAACACTACTTCATTGTTACAAGTGAATAGTTGATTGAAAATTCTAAGCTAAATTTTCAGATACTATGGAGTCATAGCATTTTAAAATAAGGAGGAATCATCATCTAGTCCAGCATTTTAGTCTCAGCGTTTTTATATTCTTAAAGATTAATGAGAACTCCAGAAAGCTTTTCTTTTACCGGCTATATCTATTGATATTAACCCTATTAGAAATTAAAACTGAGAAACAGTTTAAATATGTATTAATTCAACTTAAAAGCCATTACATGGTAACAAATAGCATGTTTTTAATTTAAGAAAACATTTTTAATAACAAAACAATTTCAGTGAGAAGAATAACATTGTTTTACCTTTTCACAAATCTCTTTAATGTGTGGCCTAATGGAAGACAGCTAGACTCCAATATCCGCTTCTGCATTCAGTGCGTTACTGATATCATACATCATGTGGCCAGCTTCTGGAAAACTCCACTGTACTTTCATGAGAGAAGGAGAATGAAAAGCGTAAATAACATCTTAGTTTTACTATGAAAATAGTTTAAACTTTTCAATAATCCCTGCATAACACTGTGAGAATAATTATGTAGAGTAGATCAGCATTTGTCCGGGCCGCAAGTGGGAAAAAGATTGACTATTAAGGAGTATAGGGGAGACTTTGGGGGATGATGGAAATGTTCATATCTTGATTGGTACAGATTATACAAGTACATTTATTATCAAACTTCATCAAACTGTATGCTTTAAACAGATGCATTTTATTCTAAATAGATTGCCTCAGTAAAGTTGATTTTTTAAAAAATGCTCAACCCTAAAATTAAGACAATATGCTATGATGT